TAAATGGTCTTTCTCATTTCAAATAACATATATAATAGAGGAAGATCTATTTAATGATATAAAAGCACTGACATGGAAGGCTAGTTGGCAAGGAAGAAAGCTAGAATAAGGCTGAAGAAAACTGGGGTTTTGATTTATTAAAGGGGATTTCATATTACTAATTAGAGGGTTAAAGGGAGAAGTTGAGATAAGGGGAAATTTGGTCATTAGATCTAAAATATTTGGAAACAGGTTGAAAATAAGGATTTTATTTTAATATTTAAAAAGTAGACCCGAAAGAAAAAAATTAATTATTACGAATATGTTTGATTTATTGATTAACCCAGGCAATATATATAATGGTTTTGATTTATTAAAGAGGATACTGTATTATTAAGTAGATGATTTAATATGGTGGGAAATAGATAACTTTTAGGAAATAGAACAAGACTATATTCAAATAAATAAAATATGTATTTTGAATATTAGATTCTGTTATGAATTGAGATAAGGGAAACTTTGATTACCTAAAGCCTGAAAATTATAAATAACAAATGCTAAATTGAAATATTGATGGGAAACTAAAAATTGGGAAAAAATCAATAACAGGACATTGATTGTTTATAAAGGTTGAATGTAAAAGTAATTAAGATATGTATAAGTTAAAAATTTATTGATAAATGTAATAATGATGTTTTTACTTAATTGATATAATAAGAACTGTATTAGCTTAAATATGAGATAGTAGATATTAAGGGGAAAAGAGAGGAAATATTTGATGTTGTATCCTGAGATTTGTACTAAATATTTTTATATGTTATTGAACTATTGATTAACCCAGCCACCATGTTGCTTTTTAACTACTTAAATGTAAAATTGGAAAATTAATAAAATCTTATTTAAAAAAAAAAAAGAAGCTAGGACAGGCATGGATATAAAAACTAGGTGATCTACTCATGGTCCTGAAGACTCTGTCTACTTTCTCAGGTCTTACAGGTTGTTTATTTATTAAATGTAGATGCTACCCATCTCATCTAGAGATGATTCTAGGCAGCTTATAATAAAAGAAAAGATAAAATATTAAAATATTTTTAAATATTAAAATATTATTTTAATTTTAAAATATTAAAACTGAGTTAACAACAATGGCAAGAAAGGGTGCTAGATGGATACATCTTTTCTACAGGGTAGAAAAGAATATTATCTCTGTCCTAACCACTTTCAGTATAACACGCCCCCATCGGGGCCTGAGGCCAGGTTTTCAAGTCCTTTTGGAAGGCCAAAAGAGTGGGAGCGGATCTCACCTCAGGGAGCATAATGTTCCAGTGGGCAGGAGCCACAGCAGAGAAGATTCTTCTTCTGGACCCTGCTAGCCAGAATTCCCCTTCTACTGGCATGGATAAGGGGACCCAATCCCAATTTTATGTAATAAATTGGAACAATTAGTTCTTTGACTTAATTTCTGGAGATACTGGCAATGTATAGATATATAGACATAGATACTGATACATTCAATCTGAATTCCTTGTAATGAATTCAGTGAGCACTAGTGTTTTTTCTGTTTCTAGAGGATCAAGAAATTGTGTAGCTTCTGTTATGCTTACTAGTGGTCAAATAAGGAGAAGGAATCGTTGTCCAATGCCCTTGTAGATGCTTCAGGATTGAAGAGTATATTCAAAAATATTCTGCCAACATTCATATTAGAACAGCACTTAATGCTAATTACCGAAAAATGGTTCAGCACTTCCCAACATAATGCAGATTATGGTGCTGAATCCCTGGCTGGAAATAACATATTGAAATCTTATTCTTGGTTATGATCCTCCAAGATCTCAGAAGTTCAGACCCTTATTGAAGATTTTCTTTTTGCAAGTTGATTTTTTTTAGTAGTCAAGTATATAAGTTAAATCATACTACAGTTCAGAAAAAAATTGGTGCTTTATATCCATTTTTAGCTTTAAAATCTGAACTTAACACTTATATCACCATTCCAAAATGTTGAATGATTTCATTCCCATTCAGTTTTGCAGCACTAAAGGATGCCAAATTTGGTTGTTTGAAAGAACATCTGTTTTTTTCCTCAGTTCCTGACTACATAGACCTGTAATCCCAAGATATGCATTGTATAGCAGTGGTATTTGTTCATCTCAGCATTAAGATACACTTTTACACAGATGATTGGCTTCAGATTGACTCATCTTTTACAAACAATATTTTCATATACCTACATTTCTTTTTCTATCCTTGGTTTCTCTGCAAATTGGAACAAGTTCAATTTCTGTTCCACGTAATGTATCCTTTTATAGAAGTGATATTGAATTCATTATCTTGCCAGGCATTCTCACCCAAGGACTGAATAAAGATAATTGTAGCCATACCTCTTGCATGCTGCTGCTAATTCATAAATTGAACAAAATGTCTTCTGAATCTCATGGCCTTGACCGCCACCTGTCAGGCTCCCACAGTAAATCGGACATTAGAATTAGATAAGCAAATTGTACTTTATTATTATATTATTATATCTCCTACCATCTTTTTTCAGCCTGAGTGGTAAGGTAATAATAATAATAATGTTGGAAGGACCTCGGAGGTCATCTAGTCCAACCCCCTGCTCAGGCAGGAAACTCTATACCATTTCAGACAAATGGCTGTCCAGTCTCTTCTTAAAAACCTCCAGTGTTGAGGCATTTACCGCTCCTGGAGGCAGGTTTTTCCACTGGTTAATTGTTCTAATTGTCAGGAAGTTTTCCCTTAATTCTAGGTTGCTTCTCTCCTTGATTAGTTTCCATACGTAGTTCCCTTACGAGTTTCTTTCTTTGCCGTTACACAGCTATGGGCTATTCCAAGGGTCTCCAGCCCTCAGGCCACGGTCCATTACTGGGCCTTGAGCTGTTCAGAAACAGACCACAGAAGTGGCAGGAGAGTGTGTGAGCATATTCGTACATGGGCAAGCAGTGGGCAAGCGCAGGAACGCACACTCCAGTTGTGCGAGTGGACAACCACTCATGCAAATGGAGTTCCACACACTTGCCTTCTGTTCACACGGAACCATCCTTCCTCCCTCCCCCGGGCTGGTCTGCAAGGAAAGATTGGGGAACTCTGGGCTATACCATGATTAATCCTTAGACAGCATCTTTTCCCATCTCCCAAGGTAATTACTATATATCATTACGCTAACATGATTGCTTTCACATTATCTTTATATATGATTTCAAGTACTGATTTGTCAGGATCTTCATTATCTCTCAAATCTGACTACAGTAGAGTAGAATAGAACAGAACGTAGAGTTGAAAACTAGAAAAAGTGTTTTCTTCCTTTCGGGTTCAAAATTTGAAATAATATAGGGAATTCTTTTAGTATAAAATATGACAGTTTACAATGATTAATGATTAAACAGAAGCCTATACTATTCCCCGCAGCAAGGAGAAATTGACTCTTATCCATAGAAGAGAATATATTTAATTTTGTTTCTATTTGGAAATTGCTTCCGGATTTTGTGCTTGCAATGGAAAAAAAATGAAAGTTTGATTTTGTTTTTGCTGATTAAATAGTCTTGTTGCTATAGAAATGGCTGGTATATATTATTGTGTAAAGGTAAAAGGTTGAAGTTGTAATGTTATCTTCTACTCTGTTAAAGAGAGTTGGAAGTTGATGCCTTTTTCTTTCCTTTTCCCTCTTTACACCATATTTTTTTCTTTTTTCCTCCCCATTTTTAAATTTCTCTTTGTATTTATACTTTGATAAACTAATAAAAATGTATTATTAAAAAAAGAATGTAGAGTTGACTAGACTAGAACAGAACAGAACAGAATAACAAAGTTGAAATGGACCTTGGAGGTCTTCTAGTTTCCTGCTCAAGCAGGAAACACTGTACCATTTCAGGCAAATAGTTGTCCAATCTCTTCTTAAAAACTTCCAGTGTTGGAGCATTCACAACTTCTGGAGGCAGGTTGTCCCACTGAATAATTGTTCTAACTGTCAGGACATTTCTTCTTACTTGTAGGTTGCACCTCTCCTTGATTAGTTTCCATCTATTGCTTCTTATCCTGCCCTCAGGTGCTTTGGAGAATAGCTGGACATCCTCTTCTTTGTGGCAACCCCTGAGATATTGGAACACTGATATCATGTTACCCCATGTCCTTCTTTTCATTAAACTAGACATATCCAATTCCAGCAATAGTTCTTTATACGTTTTAGCCTCCAGTCTCCTAAAGAATGTTGAGTCGAGTAGAATAGAACAGAATAGAATTGAGCAGACTAGAACAGAATGTAGAATAGAACAGAATAGACTAGATAGACCAGAATAGAATGTAGAGTAGAGTAGAGTAGAGTAGAGTAGAGTAGAGTAGAATAGAATAGAATAGAATAGAATAGAATAGAATAGAATAGAATAGAATAGAATAGAATAGAATAGAATAGAATAGCTTTATTGATCAAATGTGATTAAAGGAATTTGTCTCTGGTGTAAAAGCTCTCAGTGTACATGCAGAGCAACAGAATAATAATCATAATCATAATGATACCAATAAGGGGGTAGTAAAAAAATTAAGAAGGATAACACTACTACTGTCATACAACATGGGTAAATATACTTAGACACTGTGAGAATGAGATGTTCAGCAGAGTGATGGCACAAGGGCGGAAAAAACTGTCCCTGTGTCTAGTTGTATTAGCATGCAAGCCCCGTAGCGTTGTCACAAGGGGAGGAGTTGAAACAGTTTATGTCCATGATGTGAGGAGTTTGTAGATATTTTATCAGCCGTACTTCTGACCCACACAATATACAGGTCTTCTGTGGAAAGCAGACTGGTTGCACTGATTTTTTTCTGCAGTCCTAACTATTTGTCTTTAATGGGTCAAATGCTGTTACAAAAAAATAAATAAGATAGTTGGTTAAGAGATACTGTTAGTCCTCTATCAGTTTTCAGTATCTTTTCATAACACAATAATGATAGTGAGTTACAAAGAGACTTTTCACTAAGTAACTTTGAACTCTTTTTCCTTTATTTTCTCCGCCCAGGAGCCTTGCCTGTACTGTTGTGGAAATGTTAACAGAGAAACCACCCTGGGCAGAATATGAAGCTATGGCAGCCATTTTCAAGATTGCTACACAGCCTACTAACCCCCAGCTTCCTTCTCATATATCAGAACCTTGCCGGGACTTCCTAAGGCAGATCTTTGTGGAAGCCAGAAAGAGACCTTCAGCTGAAGAGTTGCTCCAGCATCATTTTGCTCAGCTCCCCTACTGAATTACCATCTCTGAAATAGCCTTCCATTTTTAGATGATACTGTTGTCTGAAGTGATGTGGCCTGTATCAGAGAATCCATTCCATAATGTTAGCAGATAGACATTCTGTTTGCCTAGTAAGGTAGTGTATAAGGGCAATGCAGAAGTCAGCCACTTTCATTTTGGTATCTTCATTTGGGATTGATGTTTCCTCTGTAATAACCCATGTGCTGACATGGTATTTGGCATGTGGCTAGGAACAGTCTAAAATGCTTCATTTGAATATAGATCTATCTCTGAAACTTGTGAAAATGAAAAAGGAGAGAATGGATTCTGAGAACTGCTAAAATCTATAAAAATGTGTACTGGGCTCATACTATCACTCTGTCTTACAGCTTTTCAGGTTGCAGGGTGTTGTTTTTCTTCATTAGCCCTCTCATATCCATGTTTCTGGATAATGAGAATGGGGGAGGGGATTCCCATGGATCAAAAATACGATGGAATCTAGGCAATAAAGTTCCCTGAATGAAATAAGGAAACCAAATTCCATTTAGGCAGAACAATGTGTTCTATATCTATGCTGTAATCATGGGCTAACCCAATTTTTGTCTAGCAAAAAAATCAGTATTGTAGGGCTTGACACTTTTAACTTCTATTTTTTTAGTCTTTATGGCATCAGAGAAACTAGGAATTCACATGGGAGAAGTTAAGAATTTTTAGAAATTAGCTGAAGCTGAGCAAGGCACAGTGCCCCTTCTGTGAATATTAAAAATCAATAGATAAAATGAGGAATGTATATGAAATTTTACATTATTTGCAGAATTTATCCATATTGTAGAATGTGCCATTTTATGGATTGTGTTGCACAGGATATCATGTAATAGATTGTGGTGAGGACTATTGTGAGAAAGCATATCAATGTGCTGCGTTTAGATGGATGTTGATAGGCTAAAACTTTCCCTTAACGGGTAGAGGTATATACAGTTAAGCTATTATGCTACAGTTATAATAGATATGAAAATATCTCAGTTACTGTGAGACATTCAGTTTCATATACTTCCATTAGATAGCTTCGTCTATTCCAGTGGTTCTCAACCTGTGGGTCGGGACCCCGTTTGGGGTCGAACGACCATTTCACGGGGGTCGCCAAACAAGGCTGTCCGCCATTTTTTCCCCGTTTTCTTTGGCCGTGCCCCTGGCACCCGGTGATGTATAAGTGGTTGGGGGGGTCACCACAACATGGGGAACTGTATTATGGGGTCACGGCATTAGAAAGGTTGAGAACCACTGGTCTATTCCTATTCCCTTTCACAGAATAACCTTTTTTTCCTCTCCAAACTTCTGACCAAAGATTATTTCATTGCTGCCAAGATCAGTCTTCAAGGAGAGGCAAAGTATTACTGCTGAGCCCACGCAGGATTGTTCATACTGAACAGAGCTTTCTTTTCCAGGGGCTTGTAAAGAAAAAATTGGGGCAAGGAGAAGTGAAATTGCTCATCTGTCTTTATTCATTCTGGGTTTTTCCATATGCTTTTCTGATTTTTAGAAGAATAGCTTCTAAAGTTTGAGACCATGTTTTCCCACAGTTCTGCAGTTTGTTAAATTCTGCATTGTTTTCTAAGAAACCTTTTTTTTAGAGGCACCTCTGTCAGATTTGAGTACAATTAAAGAATTAATTTCTTTATCTCTCAAATGCTTGGTTGCCAACAGCATACCTTTATTATATAAAATGTTGGATTAGAATCAGATACACTCAGACAGGATCTCTACGAGATCTATGAGTATCTCTGTTATTCATTATGTAACAAATCATGTACACTACAGTAGCATTAGGACAGATGAACGATGTGACCAATGTGTTGCTTTGCAAACAGCATTCTGCCGCTTGTGACACTTCAGGTGTTTGCTGTTAACCTTGCAAAGAAATATTAATCTACCTTTGCTCTAGCCAACTTGTCAAATGTTTGCTTCTCTGCAAAACTGAGATTTATTCTTATCTGTCACTTTACACAAAGCTGCATGTGGTAACTATTGCAATCTACCAGCCTCACATGTTAGTGAAAGCAGGGTGGGGGAGCAATGCTTTCAGTTAATTAGCAGTTCTTCTTTTAAAGCAAAATGCAATTAATACACAGATAAAAGCATTTTTTTCTGCTGTCTCGAGCCTTGTAGTGGTGGCAAAGTCCAGACCAACTATCTTGATGTACTCAGGTTTTTTGTCATTTTTTTAAGAATATCTATGGCTTTATAACAAATAAAAGCCAAAATGTCTGTACAGATCTAAAAATGCCACAATGATTTTCTTTTTCACTTCATTTGCCAACATGTCTGTAGATCTTGGTTTGTTGCCTTAACAACATGTATATTCTTTTTCCAGACAACAATGTTGAGTTATGGTTTTTCCTGTGATCTTAGCAAATAACCAGCAGCAGAGTTGAACCCTAATCTATTTTTGAGAATATGATATGTTGCCTTGGCTCCTCACTGGGTGGATAAGCATAAGAAAAAAGCCAAAGCATTATTCATATGATCAGCAGTGCACTTTTATAAATATATTTATATCACTTTCTTATTAAGCATTTTACTTCATGTAAAAAAATGATGATGTCTCATACTTTTTATTTATGCCATACTTGTTTATGTTTATATGTGTGTACAGCAATTGTTATGGAATGGGGAGGGAGAAATTGACGTTGTGAATTTTAAAAAAGGGGAAAGAAGCAGCTGGTTTTGCAAAGGTTTTGATTATTGTTTATTACAAGATGTGTCAGGTCAAAATACCTTTTTGTTTCCTTGCTAATCTTTTGCTGAGAAAAAAGTAAGTGAAATAGAATAGCAATATAGAAATGGCAATTTAGAATGATAGAAAGCCACAAATTAGATGTGTTAGAGACTACCAGTCTCATGTGTTCCTGTTGATATATCACACACAATTTTGATTGAGCTTATTGCCATTTCTTCACAAAACAACAGTGATCTGCATGGTTTCAGTGTAACCTCATTTTAAGATAGATTTCACATATTGGTCTCACAATTTTTGTATGTCTGCATTTCTGGAGCATTTAAACTTTTTTTTAAAACAAAATGGCTTATTGTATGCTTTATTTACTTGTTGTAGAATATATATATAAATTGAGTGAATAGCATACAGATAATCTAAGAAGGCCATGATGTGGGAAACAGTCTTTGCAATATCTGAATTACTAACATTGATATACTGCTGTTCAGTGCAATAAATTTGTCCCTGAAATTACATCTAGATAATATTCACTGGAGTTCTACAACATCAAATAATTCAGGAGTGCTTACTTCCAGATAAATGCATAAAGAATTATAGCCTTAAAAATGCCCCGTTTTGTAATTTATCTTTTATGCCAACTACTTCCAGACTTTCAATATTTTTGCCTTATAAAAACCCCTAGGAATCTCTTGTTTATGGCCTCCTGAGGAATTCATCATGCAGATTTGCTTTTGGTCGGTTTCTGATTCTCATCAGTGCAAATAAGAGAGTGAGAAAAAAAGGATATTTTGCAAATTCTCTCACAGAACTGTAACTATAAGCAAGGAAACAAATACGTGTTTAGGCTTGGTACGACGATTCTGTATACTCCAGCTTCACCTGCCACTGTTCTGCTAAACAGCATACATTTAAAATACCTTTTGTATAGGAGCTATTGCCATCAGACAACATGTATCTCATTATTTTCCCTGAATTACCTCATATATGTGGGCTAATTTAATATATGATTTGGAAATTTGAGAGATTGCAAAAAAAAAAAAAGATTGGTGATATATTTCTGTAAGATTTCACAGCTAATCTGAGATACTCTTCACATCAGATCTTTGAATTTATACCTTTGAATATGATAGTATGTCTGACTTTAACTAAATTTACCCAAGAAATTACTGAGATTGGGTAATTAAGTTTGCAGCCTTCTGTATATTTTACACTGCCAATGCTAGAACAGATATTTTAATTTAATGAAACTCAAAGAGAGCTTTGTAGAACATTCTGTGATTTATCATTTGGACCTGGAGTATACAGAAGACCTTGAAGTACTTCTATGTTTCTAATTTTTATGAATTTCTATAATGACTGAGGCTTGCAGTGCAAAGCCAGGCCAATGTGTAACTTTTATTTACAATAAAATATAATTTTCAGCTAGTTATGTGTGCTACTAGCTATTGTATTATTGGAGGCTGCTTGAATATCCAAGTGGAAGCTTCAATAGCTCCATTTTGCAAAAATACACTATGAATTCTCAATACGGCCATCCTTTCCTTTTTTGGGATAGTGAAAATTGTCTCACACTTTTTTAACTTAAGTAAGTTTATTTCATCAGATGTTCTCTTTGAAATCCACAGCCAGGGAAGTGAAGCATTCCTATGTGGCTTTGAATTGTGGGATTTGTTGAAATCTGAGAAAGGTATACTCAGCACTTTAACAGAAGCTTATCATCTCTCACAGCCTGCTAAACACATTTTTCTGTATATTCTGGAATGTAGGCACCAAACACTGTATCTTTTATTAAGGAAGACATGTTCTAAAGCTGCTGAACATGCCATTCGGCATGTTCTATATGAATTGTGTGTGAACCACAGCTTTTCTTCTAGACAGTGATATTAAACTGCTGGTTGTTTTTTTTCTAATGCATGCAATGATGATTGGATTGTTCTCCCACCCAGAACATGTTTCTTGTTCAGCAAGAAATCTTTTGGAAACTGAAGTAGAAGTTGCACATTTCATCTCTTAAAACTTTCATAAACAACATCAAAGAGGAAAAGCTCAGAAAACCTATATTACAAAAATAAGACAGTGCAGCTCTGAACACAAACACCACAAGTGTGCTTCAGCTTATCACGTACCACTGAAAAGGCAGATATAAAAGATAGACACTAAATTCTTCCCCAGAGTTTAAGGCTGAATGGATAGAACAGAGCTGATGAGAATTAGGATGCAAGGTCTGCAGTCCCCTTTTAGACCCATGTTCATTATGATTTTGGACTAATATACATGCTTCTGTAACTGTTACACCAATTCTACCCCCACAACTCTTAATGTCCAACTCTTATATGCCTGCTTGAAATTCCAAAAGTTGTATTTTCTATTTCATTGTTTAGGTTTTCTAAAGCTTGAATACATGCATCCTTGCTTTACCCTAGACATGTGTATGGTGTCTGCAGCAGAAGCACACAGCCTCCACATAAGAAAGGAGATAACAGACTATATTTAGGATTCTAAGTAAATTCACAGTCAGAATTCAATGTGTTGCTGCCTATTTGCACAATTTGTTTAAGTAGATAGCCAGATATTGGGAATAGATAATGCTCTGTCTCCTTCAAAACTATGTAAAAACAATATCTAAGAATTGGCTAAAGCCTGTTGGAAAAGTTTCTTCAACTGGAATTACAAGAGTAAGGAAAGCAACATCCAGGTCAACCTGTTAGGATGCTGATTGACTTGCTAAAAGGGAGACTGTTTATATTTTAACATGCTATATGGAAAAATGTGTAATCATACACTTTTGACCAAGGAGATGTACAGATGTGAAATATCACATTTACAGCTTGTCTAGTCAACCTGTTTAGCTACAATCCTGATTGCAATTCCATTACTAGTATGACCTGGCCCTCTTTATAGCATTAGTATTCCTGCTTTTGCATGAGTAAAGCAAAATTTCCCATTTTCAACATGTCTGTGTAGTTTTTCGGATACTTAATTCTTTCCACAGCCCATTAAAACTATAGTTCGTTCCTGCTTAGTCTTTCCTGCTCCTAGCCATCTTGCAATTACCACTGCTCTCCATCAGCTCAGTTCATCAGGTCTCAAAGTGGGGAACTATAGGCTATGGGTCATGCTGTATCTGAACCATTCTCCACTTCTTTCTGCAGCCAGAGTTGCTTGTGCTGCTTGCGCCCAAAGCCTTCGTCATAGTTGCCTTTGCTCTTGAACAGCTGCTGGTAATGTGGCTTGCAGTAGAATTCCCCATGGAGAGCTGCATAACTACCCAAGCTGAATAAAAATAAGAACATGTTAGGGCTTGCTAGAAAAGGGCTGAAAAATGGAAGAAAACTAGTATAATGGTAGTTATACTATGAAAATGAAGCTATGAGTTTACTACTGTGCCCTTCCTAAGAATTTGCAACACAGCATAGGAGCATGAGACTACCTCACAGAGGAAGCATAATTATTATACTGTACCCAGGCAAAACAGTTGTGAAATCATTTAAATGTTTAAATGCCATAAGTGCTTATGTTTCTCCAGAATGCAGAAAGAAGACTAATTTAGTCCTGCTTTTTCACAATTCCTACTACACTTAGTAAACATTTGTTTGATGCAAGCTCAACATCCAAATGGTTTTCTTGGCAACAGTACAGAACTACTTTGCCATTACTTTTTTCTGAGAAAATTTTCAACTTCATCCATTCAGGTACAAAGCATACCCAACTCTTGTTTAACTTTTTCAAGATCAGCTGAGATCATCTGCAAGTGAATATTAAGCTCTTTTTTTATAGTGAAATCTCCAATTTCTTTAATTTATTTTAACAACCTCAGCAGATTGAGAAAAGATTAATGCCTTTCTCCCTGTGCTTTAAATATTACAAAGTGTCTAAAGCTGAAACATTGGGACTTTAAGGAACTTTGATCTGTTTGCCCTTCAAGGAAAAAAAAAACACTGCTCTGATTCAAGCGAACATATTTTGCACAGTCTGGGTAGCATTCAGTACATGGTACAGACGCTGAAAAAAAATGAGATGTCATATCAAAACAGAATTTATTTTCAGTGTTTTATTAGGCTTCTAAATGGGGTGGATGGAATTATAATTAATGATGGCTATTGGGAATGATAGAGAGTCAACAACCAGGAAATTGACCATTACCCACATATTCCCTTTACACTGCTTCCTCCTCAAAGCAAAAGAGGAAAGCTCTCATTTTTCCCTTACCTTAGCTTGGTATGGCAATGCTTACAGCAAAAGCAGGAGTTGTGGAAGACAAATTTATCAGCCACCAGGCGCTCCATAGGATAGACTGTTTTCTGGCAGGCACTACATGTCTCTTTCACCTGGGCCTTCAGGCTGAATGACTGGATGACAGAGAAAAGGTGATAATGGGTGAAAATTCCAGAAGAGGAGGCAGCAAGGAAGTGAACAATGTACAATTACCAGTGATTTAATTGTGAAGATAAAATTTCAAAACTTTTTGGATATAGCATACTTGACTCATATGCCAAGCTTCCTAACTTCAGTTATATTTAGCTAATAGTAAATTAAACAGTCTTAAGAGGCACCCTGGTTTAATATTAAGAACTTTAATAGTTGAAATAAGCAGTAGTTTATGGAGAATGTTTCAAATCTAAAAGTGCAGGACACTGGAATTCAGAGTGAAATAGTTAACAATAGCACTTAGCAATAGCATTAATACTTATATATCACTCCAGAATGCTTTACAGCACACTCTGAGCGGTTTACAGAGTCAGAATATTGCCCCAACAATTTGGACCCTCATTTTACCAACCTCAGAAGAATGGAAGGCTGAGTCAACCTCCAGCCCTGTCAGAATCGAACTCCTGGCAGTCGGCAGAGTCAGCCTGAAATACTGCATTCCAACCACTATGCCACAAATATTTACTTAGTAGAAACGAAAATGCTGTTGAAAATCATTGTAAAGGACTTATATGGGAATTTATGTTCTAAATTCAACTGGCATTTAGGGAAGATATTTTTGAAATATACCTAAAAAGCGAGCTATCGATTTGCCTTTCAATACTGAATTTTAAAAGTAATCAAGAGAATGATCACAAACTCTGCATAAAATGTACTTTCTGCCTAAAGATGAATTATTTTATTGCTATTTTCATATGTTCTATAAATATGTTGCACAGAGATACAAGAATGCTCTCTGAAGAGATGATAGGAATTGCCTTTGACAGTTCTGGTCAGTTTTGATAGGTACATCAGTTCTCAGCCTTTTAGGATCAGGATGGCCTGATAACAGTGATTCACACACTTATCATTTCACAGTGAGACCACTGCAGTGTGTCTTACATAGTGCTTCTGTCCTTAAAGAAGAGCAGTTAGAATCAGAAACTGCAGTTAGCAGCAACCTTCTCACTTGTATTTTGACTCAAACAAAACTGTGTTTATTTCAATAATATCTACTTATTGAAATATTTTACTTTATTATTAAAGAAAAGCTAGCAAGAACAATTTCATTAATACACTGAATGTCTAAGAGTTAAATGCAGTTTTTCTCAATCTTGGCACTTTAAGATGTGTGGATTTCATACAGTATTTCAGTATTCCCCAGCCAGCATGAAGTCTCCTTCCAGAATGCTGACTGGGGAATTGTGGCAGTTGGAAGTTCACACATCTTAAAATTGCTAAGATGGAGAAACAATGTTCTAATAGAACTTACTTGGCTTCCAAGTAGGATTTCTTGAAGCCAAGGTGGGCAGATTATCTGAGGCCTTAGCTGTGGTCACAGAATATTGTAGAGCAGTGGTGGCAAACCTATGGCATGGGTGCCAGAGGCAGCACTCAGAGCCCTCTCTGTGGGCACATGTGCCATTGCCCCAGCCTCGCCTCCCCCCGCGACACCCTCCTCTCCAGCAGCCCCCCTGAAGGAGAGTCACCCCTGAGTGTGGCCCACATGGAGCAGTGCAACCAAGGACATGACAGCCAGGCAGCATAGACAAGACTCTGCCCTCACACCCCATCATGCACAATTGATGCTGCAGGGCACGGGTAGAGGATGTGACCGCCATAGTGTTGCTAGGCTGCCTGGGCGATCTGCGGCGGGCCTTGGAGGTGGTGAGTGGCCCTGCGGGCAGGCAGGGCAGGGGATGGGGGGCGGAGCAGGGGCGGGGCAGGGGGTGGAGCAGGGACGGGGCCAGTTTTTGGGCACTCGATCTCTAAAAGGTTCGCCATCACTGTTGTAGAGGGCAGTAGCTTCTGACAGGGTGCATCTGGGCAACGTCTTCTGTTTACAGATCCAGAATATTTTCTTGATGTACTGAATATCTCTGAGAGTTTAAGTAATGGAGGAGATCCCTGCAGTAAGTCTACCTTAACAGCAATAAAAGCATGTGTTTGAATCTATGCCATCTATTGTGCCCTAGAACCCTGACCTGTGACCTGTGAGAAACTTTTTAGGGAAGGACAGATCAGAAAAGCACTTACTAGTTCACTCTGAAGAATTTTTCTAGAGGATAAAATTGTTTAGATTCTCTCACAGTTAGATGCTATCTGAGCAGATCCTATAGAAGTCTACATCTTGCGGAGTACAGGGAGTCCTCGACTTATGACCACAATTGAGCCTAAAATTTTTGTTAAGTGAAATATTTGCCCCATTTTACAATCTTTCTTGCCACAGTTGTTAAGTGAATCACTGCAGTTAAGTTAGTGACACAGCTGTTAAGTGAATCTGGCTTCCCCATTGACTTTGCTTGCCAGAAGGTTACAGAAGGTGATCACATGATCTCAGGATGCTGTGACCGTCATATTTATGAGTTTATGAGTCAGTTGCCAAATGTCTGAATTTTGATCACTTGATCGTGAGGATACTGCAACAGTCATAAGTGTGAAAAACAGTCATACATCACTTTATCAGGGCTGTTGTAACTTTGAACAGTCACTAAATGAACTGTTGTAAATCAAGGACTGGGATGAATCTCAGTAACCTGGGATGTATCTCCTAGTCCTGAAGAAATGGAGTGTCTTTACAATGTCAACTCCACCACCTATAACCTGGATCTCTATCCTTCCTGGTTAGTAAAAACTACCATACAAATAATAGGAAGTTGATTAAAGGCAGATTAAAGGTGGGAATGCAACCTTAAGTGAAGAGTTGGTATTGTTTGACTTATTAACTAGACAATTTCAACCTGGCAAGTCTTCAACCTCCCTTTTGGATTAAGTCTACTGAGAAAACAACTGATTAATTTTATAGCTCAGAGATAAATAAGCCATCCATCTCTGCCATTCCTGTGATCAAAGATAGAAATGATTCAAGTAATTAGAACACCCAGCATTAAATAGATTATTTATTTTATAGTCTTAACTTTGTGAAGTAACAAAAACCAGAAAGAAGAAAAAGAGTGATAAATACCTTGGATCTTTGCACAATAGATGACCCCATGTTGCTCTTGGCTTCCTAAAAAAAAGACGGAGAAGGGAAATAAAAATTAATGTTCTTCTGGCATAACAAATCATATTTTAGATTTGAATACAAACTGCAGTTTACTTGTATTATAATTAATGGTGAAAATGAGCAAGCTAATACTTTTCTTGGACTCTTTATTTTGAATATTGTTAATTAGCTAAGAACAATAATAATGAAAAAAAAAAAGATTCAGAAACTCAGAGACATCCTATTGCTTTATAATAGAATATGAAAAAAAAGACTACTATATCCATAAGTTACATTGTGGAAAAACATATTCAGGTGAATCTGTATAATCACATTATCTTCAGATGAATTGGAAATATCTCAACAAAATACATGGAATGAAATAGATACAGTCCCTTGTGATACAATCTGTATAGTTTTCTGATGCAACTTTTTTTGTATGACAGTGGATGGCCACACAAAAAGAGTTGCATCAGAACACTATATGGCAGGGTGAGAACCCACTATAGTACCCAGCAAGCCAAGAGAGCAGGTACCTACGTGAACAATTCAAACAGAATGGGTATGCACAATCATTTGTCACAAGATGTCTGTGTAACACAATGGGGAGAGAAAGGAAGAAACAAGGTACATGACCAACCACATGGCATACTCTGCCACACATCCAAAATATTTTGGAAGTTGTAGAACGCAGATCTGCAAATGGGCACTGCACACTACTCAGAGATCACCATACAAGGACAAATTATGCATTGTAAAGATCACTTGGAGGTGAGAGATACTTCCAATGTAATCTACTGGATCCCCTACATGGATTGCCCCTGTGACTGTGTAGGACAGAGGTGTCAAACTGCCAGCCTGCGAGCTGGATGCGTCATGCAGAAGCTGCACCCACCCCATTGCCGGCAATGGCAAAACAGTCATTTTGACATGTCTGGTGTAGAACAAATGGTGAGGAAGCTAATTTCACCAGACTGCAAGAACACAACTAAGTGGTCAGACAAGGAGACCCAAACTTATTGGTCGCTTCACACTGCAATGAACAAGGACCCAGATTCAATTTTGCAATTGAGATTGTTGGACAAGCAGGCACAAAAAACCCAGGGAAGTGACTGAAACCTGGGAAACAGGCCCTTCGTCAGTCAACAGGAATGCTGATTTACCACCAGCTTATCAAGTATTTAGAAAGTGAGAGCTGGACAGCACAACCAAATGACAGCTATTGACTTAAAAACCAGCCATCAACATACCCTAATCAATATCTGAAAAGCCACTTACAACAGGCACTATAAATACCAGACACAGAACAGCACACACTCTGCTAGAGAGACATTCCCTGGGGATGGGGGCTCCAGCACAGGTCTGAAAGTTCAAAAGACTAAACCTCTGGTCCCGGTAACCGACCAAGATTGGATCCTGTAATTTTTTATTTATACCTCTTTTCCTCCCAATAAGAAAAGTATTTATTTCAATATACTCTATCCATTAAGTTTTCTGCCATGATGAACATGCTGCTATTTAAGGTACCAAAAGAAGTTTGTTATTTGCATAACTATTATGATTACCTAGATAAAAGTAACATAACTCTGCTTGGTTCACATATAATGCTAAGTCAAAAGTACATCAATTACATTGCAACTTAATGCTACATGCAATCCCATCCATAGTAATCCTATCTGAAAAGCATGGTTTAAACAAATGATGATGGCGCAACATACAAACAATATTATTTCCTCATTTATTCCCTCTGAAGTAGCAATATACGGTAATTTAAAGATACTGATTTCTGTACATACATTAGAAGAAGCTGTACTGGATGGTCCCTTAGCTTGGAACATATTCTCACCCACTCAGATTTGTATCTTCACTTGTTTGAGCTGGCTAATTCTTCAATGTGGATATGGCTTTTACCTGAGGAGACAAGGGAAAAATTAAGTCTTCTCTACTAGAATATTTCTCCTCTTTCTGAAATGTAAATTCCAGATGATTGAAACATCCTGCACAAATGCTAGTATACACATACACTATTTTATTGTATTTTATTTCCTTTTCAGATTAATTGGAGATCAAGAGATAAAAAACAATTCTGAATGCAATCTCATACATAGTAGAAATGTGTTAAAGTGACATTATTTTTTAATCTAGTTGCAAACATATGAAAAATGAACTTATTTACACCAGTATGTAACTTATCTATTTTAATGCAGTCATTAATAAACATATTTTACAAAAACTATTCTTGAAATAGTATCTATAACTTAATAATATAACTTAGCAAAATAAATTAATGTACCTATGTTCTTTAAATCCCTAATATATAAGATGTGTATGTATGTGATGGACTTGTATTGTCTATTAAGAAGATTCACATTCTCCCCTAAACTTTCCTTCTTTCTGTCCAGAAAAACAAAATTGTTGGATTTGCCTACCCAGTTTCAGTTTGTTTGCATCTTCACTGTCATTTGAATCTCTCCTATTTATGTGCAGTTACACTTGCTGGAACATTCTTGCCTCTCTGTTCTGCAAAGCATGTGTGCTGCTTAAGAAATGGCCCTGATTCATTTCCGTTCCCCTCTGTGGTTAGCTTATTTCCTGCTTTCTCCACTTAAGGATATGCTTTTAGTATCACTCAGGTACCCATAAGAGGGTTAAAATGTTCAGATTAGATACTAGAACTGTACAAGTGTGGGATTAATTGCACAAATATGTCCATGGGCATACTCCCACAAAGGTCCTTGAGATAACAAACAACCTGCGTAGCCTTGCATCTGGAGAGTGTCTGTTATGCGATACATTGTAACCACCCCTATATACATCTTTTGATTACGCTGTGTGATGTAAAAACCTTAGTAACAATAAAATAGGGTGTTGGAGTCAGCTCTGGGCTCCCATCCCGAGATACCTGTGTGCGTGTCTCAATCTCCATAGGAGACCACCTCATCTGGTGACCCCGACGTGATCCACTGAGGGATACGTCCCTGCCGACCCTTTACTTATCGCCTGGAATAGGCTTGGTGCACCCGACGAAGTTGCTGGCAACTGACTCCTCTTCGTAAGTATGGGGGGGGTGGAATGTCTCACGCTCAAAAGCAGCATGTGGAAGAGCTGAGGCTATTTGGCAGGAAAAAATATCTTACTGATCAGGAACAGAAATTAACCCGTCACCTTTCTAAATCTGAGGCTGTTAATCAATTGCTTGCTTACGTATGGGCTAACTGCTCATCCTATCCGGAGTCTGGATCTTTAAAAGTAGATACATGGAGGAAAATTGGTACCGTTCTCCATCAGTCTCCGAGAGCCCCCCCAGAGATTTTGTGCCTTTGGAAAATTGCCTATACCCTGATTCAAACCCATGCTGACTCGCCTCATCAACCTTTATTAGACCCTCCACCGTATAAAAGTCCGTCTGTTATGTTGGCCACTCCCTTGCCCCCTGGAGCAGGTTTTAACCCTCCTTCTGCCCCTGCAAATTTTATGGATCCTGATAAACAACAAACAGCCTCTCCTGTTTCTGCCACGTTGCTGCCTCTCTCCCGGCCCGGAATCATCCGTGGTGCTTTTCAAAAGGCTTTAAACAATGGTGACTTAAGCGTTTCTGAACTATCCGAGACAGAGTTGTTCCCTATTACTTACCAACAGACTGCAACAGGCATAGTGATCGATTGGGAAGCACTTCCCTTGGCTATTATCCGAGAATTGAAAAAGGCTACAAAAGATTATGGCATAACCAGTCCCTATACTAGAGGACTGATACATTCAATTGCTAGTGCATATCGAATGTTGCCTCAAGATTGGAAAGATCTGTTCCGCATGCTTCTTAACGGAATGCAATACATAGTTTTTGAATCTGAATATAAAAGAGAGACACAAAACAGAGCTAATCACCCAGGTTCACAATGGACAGCAGAACAACTCTTTGGAGAAGGCAATTTTGCTACCCTTAATGCTCAGGCTCAAACTTTTACTCCCTTTGCATTTCCAATCATTAATAGTTGTGTTCTTTCTGCCATGGCTCGTGTTGATGAGTCTGGCACCCCGATTCAATCTTTTTCTGCCATTCGCCAAACTGCAACTGAATCCTATGCAGACTTTGTGAATCGCCTGCAAGTTGCCATTGAGCGTCAAATTTCAAACAGAGATGCAGCAAATGAAATCCTCATAAAATTGGCTTATGAACATGCAAATGCAGACTGCCAGTCCATTCTTAAACCACTTGTTTCCAGTCCCACGGCTACCCTAGCAGACTTTCTTAAAGCCTGCCGAATTGTGGGAACCAATGCTTTTCAAATGGACATTCTTGCAGCTGCAATCCAAAAGGGGAATCAACCCCAAGGCACTTGCTTTAATTGTGGGAAATCTGGTCATTTTAAAAAACAATGCAGAGCCCCAGGAGGCGGCGCGGCTCGACCAGCTGCCATCCCCGGAGCCAAGCCCAAAACTATGTGCCCAAAATGTAAAAAGGGTTTTCATTGGGCCAATCAGTGCCGTTCCTCTCAGTCCAATCGGGGAAACTAACAGAGGGGTCTGCAGCTAACCCCTCTCCAAAGGCTGCATCCTTTTCAGACCTTACTTCTTCTGCTTCGCAATATTTTTCTGGCATAGATTTAAAATTGGCTTCTGATCTTTCTGTTACTTTTCCTAACCTACTCATGGTTGCTGAAACCCTTTATCCTGGACCCTTGCCTCCGGAAACGGAGGCAATAATCCTTCCCACACCTGTTGCCCGGGAACAAGGAGTGTTTGCTTGCCTGGGATATAAAACACTTTTAATCTTGTACTTTTTACCTTAAACTTTTTGACTGTTTCTGGCACCTCTGGCTCAACTGCCGCAAGCAGGCATTTTTCTGCTTCTCCCACAGATTCTTCATGCCCCCAGGTATACTATCGACATTTGCCTGATCCCACCTGGAAAGGGCCTGCCTCCCTCATTACCTGGGGTCGAGGCTACGCTGCAATAGATGACCATGGCGAGATCATCTGGACTCCAGCTCGTTGTGTTCGTCCTTATATGGCTCAACGTACACCACCTCAGCCAGGCATATGAGGATCAGGGACTGTGGGCTTTTAATGCTTTTGTACGGGATGCCAGGTGCACTGCTCTTACACTTAACGTCACGAACTGTTGGATCTGCATGCAAATTCCTGGTGACAGTCGTGGTGGCCTTATTTTCCATGCCATCCCGTTCAATGAAACAGGATGGAAGCAGCTGTGGAAAATAACTACAGAGACATTGCATATGACATATGCTGTGGGCGCTCGTATAATGGAACCTGCCAGATTTTGTTTTTATAGCACAGGACTATTCCGTACTGCCATTTATTTGGGAACTTATAGTAATTGTCAACAAGTTATTATATGGAATTCAGCAAAGAAATGCAAATCCATCAAAAGCAACCTTACTAAGATAAATGACACTTATCGAAGCAATCAATGGACAAACATCAGTACCTACATGGCTTGCCTTGACATGGAATCCATAATAACATTTGCTAATGAGTCTCACCAGGGTTATTATGAGTTACCCGATATGTGGCTATTATGTGGCTGTAGAGCCTATCGCCATGTGCCTAAGGATTGGAAAGGCACCTGTACACTGGGCCTTTTGACCCCCGCTGTATATGCCTTGCCTCATCTCCCTGATGGATGCCTGCGGAACAAACGTGATACTGGTTCCTCGGATCCACCCCTAACATTGGGTGGTAGTTTAGAGACTCAAATCAGCAGAGGAATTCTACCCAATCTAGGAGTTGCCATGAACTATAGGGACCTTCATTTGCTTAATAATTGGACTGTTCATATGTTTAATGAAACAATCAACAGCATTAAAATGATTAATCAAGAAATGGGGGAAATAAGGGAAGTAGTTTTGCAAAATCGGTATGCTTTAGATATTATTTTAGCAGCAAAAGGCGGTGTATGTGCCTTAATTCATTCTCATTGTTGTATGTATATGCATGATTTTCAACCTAATATTTCTGCTACAGCTAGGAAAATGGAATTTATGCTACAAAATAATCCCTTACGCAGTGATGGATCAGGCACCGTGGATATCTGGGGTGCCCTTTGGTCCTGGCTACCGGATGGATCCTGGCTACGATCTTTGATTTTTATTATAGTAACCATTTTGATATTATTTGTATTGCTATGTTGTTGCATTCAATGTATTCCCTCCCTCCTGCAAATGTGCAAAAATGTTACGCCCTCCACTAGGAAGGACGCCTTAATTAGTGAATCAAGATCCCTTCTGGAACTGGAAGTGAGTAACATTAAAAAAACACAAAACGAGGAAATGTGGGATTAATTGCACAAATATGTCCATGGGCATGCTCCCACAAAGGTCCTTGAGATAACAAACGGACTGCTCCAGACACAGGATACATTCATCAGCCTTTTGGACAGAGTCTGATAAGAACACGTGCGTAGCCTTGCATCTGGAGAGTGTCTGTTATGCGATACATTGTAACCACCCCTATATACGTCTTTTGATTACGCTGTGTGATGTAAAAACCTTAGTAACAATAAAATAGGGTGTTGGAGTCAGCTCTGGGCTCCCATCCCGAGATACCTGTGTGCGTGTCTCAATCTCCATGGGAGACCACCTCATACAAGCAAAGGGCAAAAAGTCCTCACCAATCTGACATGCCTGAATTCACACCAAGGCAGCTACTGCAAATTATTGGGCCACTGACACTAGCATTAAAACTATTTTCAAAACTGACAGTGCATCAGGAGTTACGTTTTCTAACATAGAGCAAAATTTTGTTATAATCACTAAGGTCTGCTAGAGAGTGTATTGGAAGGTTGAAATGATTTGACGCTATTTGTCCTTGTTTTGACTCCTGATGTCAAATTTCTCTCCATTAATTCTTTTGTGCAAAGCTTGTCACAGTACAGTGTAGAACAAAGTTTG